GCTCAGAGCAATATGCTCAATATGAAAACACCTCTACTTAGATGGAACAAATAGCTTTTTCAGGGCCATCTGCATGTCTGTGTTTCTCAGACAGTAAACAATGGGATTCAAGCTGGGTGTGAGGATGGAGTAAAACACAGACACTAACCGTCCTTGAGTGGGAGAGTAGTGGGAATTGGGGGTCAGGTAAGCAAAGCTCCCAGTGATATAAAACAGAATGACAGTGGTCATGTGAGAGGCGCAGGTGGAGAAGGCCTTCCAACGGCCACCAGCAGAACGAATCTGAGCAATGGTAGAGATGATGAGAACATATGAGATTATGGTGAGGGCAAAGGCACCAAGAATAATGCAACCACCCACTGCAAATCCAACTTCTTCATTGATGTGGGAGTCAGTGCAGGAGAGTCTCATAATGGGAGAGCTGTCACAAAAGAAGTGGTCAATGACATTGGGTCCACAGAACCAGAGGGAGAAGGTGTTGACAGTGTGAAATATGGCATAAAGAGCTCCACTGAACCAGGCCATAATGACAAGCTCTGTACACAGCTTTCTGCTCATAAAGCCACAGTATAGGAGAGGCTTGCGGATGGCTAAATAGCGGTCATATGCCATGGATGTGAGTAAGAAGCATTCAGAAGCGCACAGCAACACAAATGAAAAGAGCTGAGCCACACATTCCCAATAGGAAATGACCTGGAACCCCGTAAGTGAGTTGATCAGTGCCTTGGGGACAGTGACTGAAGTATAACACATGTCCAAGAAAGACAGATTCTTCAAGAAGAAGTACATGGGAGTGTGGAGGTGGCTGTCTCTGGTCACAGCTGCAATAATGGAGATGTTCCCCACAAGAGAGAAGAAGTAGACGAACAGAAAAAACATGGTACTAGTGAGCTTCATTTCAGGCATGTCTGAGAAGCCCTTGAGAATAAATTCAGTCACAGGGGTCTCATTTGTCATTTCCTTTCCAAGTCATAGAGGGAGAGTCAAAGAATATTCAGAACAGTTGGAGTCTTAGTGATAATTTAGTGCAAAGGACGCAATCACAAAGTGGTCCACAGGGGTGACTGAAAATAAACCTAGTCACAACCATTTGCTTTTCTTTTTTTGCTCTTTTGCGGCTTCTCTGTTAAGTCTAAGAAACCGAAGATTCTAAATAAATAAAAGAGAATAAACATGTTCATTAAGCAACAGGTTATGTATATACATAATAAGTAACACGTTCTGGAAGAGTATATGTCACTTAAGGTAAAAAATGAAGGCCTTTCTATCTCTCAGTTACCCTCATTCCCTCTTCCCTTCCCTTCTTCTAGTAAGCATTTTCTACTCTCTACTTGCAAATTCTAGTATTCAAGAGTACAGTAGGGAAATTATAATTGACAATAATTTACTGTGTATTTCAAAATAGCTTGAAGAGAATTGTGATGTCCCCAACACAAAGATAAGATAAGTATTTAAGGTGATAGATATCCAAGTTATCCTAATTTGAACACATACATTTTATATACATATCAAAATATCACATATGCTCCCCCAAACTATGTACAACTGTGACATATCAATAAAAATAAAAGAAACAAACAAAAACAGATGAATGATCTTATTCATTCAGTAACTATCGATTAAACAACGGCTATTGTTACTGCATTGGGTAGATGTTGTTTAAAGCGAAGGGAAAGAAAGGGTTATAACTTGAATGCTAACAGAAGCTGAACACATAATGAGAATATCTGAGTAGGTCAGGAGTAGTTACTAATGAGAGGGCTCCAGCTAGGTGTTGCCTGTGTGAGAGACCGGGCACTGTGAGGCCACATTTTCACATTTTTCAGTAGGAATAAATGGTTATGATTTGAGCATAAAACTTTCCAGTCTTCCAAACAGAACAACTGTGGACAGCTATATACTGGATCATGTATATCCAGTCACAGATC